TTGTACGTAAGTTTATGAATTTTTTGAGCCGCTTCATCCGCCACCAGGTGATGGACAACCCTGACCAGCCTCCCGAAGGCGTAACAGACGTCCCTCCTTCTCCTTCCAACCATGAAGAACCTTCCTCACCAGGACTTCAGCGGTCTGGCCACCACCACGTGCTGAGCAAGTGTGCTGTTCATGTACTTGCTTCACCCGCATGCCACATTCGGCCAGGCAACGCTGGCCTGGGGTGCTGCTAGTAAGGATATAAAATGGGCTGACCAATCGACATTTTCCATTAAATTTTTATAACAATACTAGCATGCATGAAGCACCCCAGGCCAGCGTTGCCTGGCCGAATGTGGCATGCGGGTGAAGCAAGTACATGAACAGCACACGTGCTCAGCACGTGGTGGTGGCCAGACCGCTGAAGTCCTGGTGAGGGAGGTTCTTCATGGTTGGAAGGAGAAGGAGGGACGTCTGCACTGTTACCATGGTTACGCCTTCGGGAGGCTGGTCAGGGTTGTCCATCACCTAGCACGATTCGCACGCTTCGCGTGCTCAGTGCTTCTGTGGCTGCTTCCGCTAGCTACACGATTCGCACGCTTCGCGTGCTCAGTGCTTCTGTGGCTGCTTCCGCTAGCTACACGATTCGCACGCTTCGCGTGCTCAGTGCTTCTGCGGCCGCTAGCTACACTGTGCTACCCCTTTCGCACGCTTCGCGTGCTCAGGGCAGCGCTGCTCCGCAGCGCTTCAGCGTGACACAAAAACACACGTCACAGGTGCCTCTTCTAGTATATATAAGGAGCGTGACACACAGACACACGTCACAGGTGCCTCTTCTCTACAAGGAGCGTGACACACAGACACACGTCACAGGTGCCTCTTCTTTATAAGTAAAGATCCAGTAGGGGATATGTCGAGTCCACTGTCAAGGTAGGGCAAGCTTCACTTGTTAAGTTGCTGGGAAATGACGAAATGCAATGGGGGCACCAGTGGGCACCTTGCTGTGTACATAATGTGCATGTGCGTCAGTTTTTATGCTATGAAGAGTGTAAAAAATGAATAAAATCCATGTATTATGACGTATGTGGATGAAGTGAACCAGTTACCCCTATAACAATATTACCCTTATAACAATATTTCTTGGTCTGACGCAAATATCGTTATAAGGGTAGGTCGACTGTAGGTGCAATCTCAATGATATAGCGGCTTATACAATATACCTCCTGAACTATTCCCACGCACAGGAATCCAACCCATAGAGGATTTGGTTCTACATGTACTTGATTCGTCATCAGACTCCTGGAGGTTTGGACTATGCATTGTGGAAGTGATGACGCGAAAAAGCTTCACCCATTTATGGAATAAAGCTCTAATGAGCAACGACCGACATGTACAAGCAATGTATAACTATGAATGACTGTCAATTGAGGAGGGGTTTATATGAGCCTCTGAAATTTCCACACTTGCACACTTCAAAACTACCCCACTCCCTGTTTTGACAAGTAATTGCTGCTCTAATTGTTGCGACTCGATGGGGCTGCGAGTAGGGATATGGAGCACGTCATAAAGGAGATCAAAGAACACCTTGTCCTCGCGAAGGCATTTCCCTGGATGATGCAGGCACATCGAAGGTGACCAGTGCGTTGGCACTGCAGATTCCATCACAAGGATTTCTAGCCAGCGGCCAGCGGAAATGGCAAGATGGCAGACTTGGCAACTCGCCCACTGTATATCCCTGCTCATGAATCGGAGTGAGCCCAGTCCTGCGCTGAGTGCAGTGGAGGAAAATCTCCGGCGACCAGTTCTACGTGTTGTAGCAGCATGGGAGCAGCACCAGCGCTACCCTGTCATTGACTGCGTATCTGAAGACGAAGCCCAACTAGTGGCTGAGCCCGCCCTGGCTGATTTGCTGGACAGAAGACATACCCAACTCAAATCTCCGACATCACCTCTCAGTAACCATGCCATACTACAGCCTGCTTATGAGGCAAGCAGTCAAGAAAGTTCAGAGGATGAGTAACGAAGCTCGATAACACCAATTTATACTAGCAGCAGCAGCAGCAGCAGCAGCAGCAGCAGTAACTACACCATCCAGTGCTGGAATGAGTGCACTGTACTAGTCTATCGTCACCTGTACATACTCCACTGATGTCGAACCCGAGATCGCAGTCGCTGCAGTTACGCAGCTGGATAGAGCAGCGTTGATGGCCAGCTTTGCAGCCATCTTGGCGGTGACGAAACTAATAATTATTATTATTGATGCTGTTCGCCATGAAGTGGTCACGTCGTTTACTGACACCAAGCAAAGCAAGACTTTCCTGCACCTGGAAGACACACTGACTCGACTCGCACTATGCTTCGTCTGGACACCGTCGAGTCACATGGGGATGACAAGCTGCGCCGCAAAACGGTAAGAGATCTGCAATCAGTGCTGGATGAGCTGGAGAGCCAGCCAGCAGATACCGCTGCTACTATTGCTTCCACCAATGACACGCCGAGTACAAGCACAAGTAAGAAATATTAGTTGTGATTTTGATTACCTGGCTCCTGACATGGGCCTGGAATCGACCACTGACTGCGATGAAGCCATCACTGAACAACAAGCTGTTGCCAGTGTTGGCAGACAATGATACTAATGACGTCATCAGCACTGGTGATGCTGCTACTGCTGAGGACAGTCGTGCCGGTGGTGATGATGATGGTGACCAGACCAATGGCTGGTAGAGTCCAACCTCCAGATCGACCAAGATGATGAAGAGCCAGTAGAAGTAGATGTAGAACCAATGTCTGGGGAAGAGTTTAAGCAGGCAAGTCCATAATTATGAATACTTGGACACCACTCGGTTTAGTGCTGGCCATTAGGACAGTTAGCTTGTATCCATATTTCCCTTTCTTTCTACATTTTAGAACTTTCCTTGGCTTAATGTGCGAAAGCTCCACTGCAGCCACTAATGGAAAACCTTCCACACACACCATCTTCAATCCAAGTGGTGTCTTCGTTGCAAAATAGAGAAAAATAATTGAGAATTATTTTTGCACTTGGATTGAAGATGGTATGTGTGTGTAAGGTTTTCCATTTCCTTGGCAAAGCAACAATAATTGGTGATGAATGATTTCCGATTCGTGCTGGACTCACCTGATCAGACTCAGTTCTTCAGGTACTCTCTGAGTCTCTCTCTCTACTTCCATGTTATATTCACACGGTCACATGCCTGCTTCTGCATAGTTTTTTTGCTTCTCATCGCTACGCTACACTCTAATCATCTGGACAGTTGTGAAATGTAGATATGCCTCTTGTCTACTCTTTAAAAAAAAAGTCTAATTCTGCAGTGAAAATGACTTGATTGTTTCATGGTATTGTGAATTTTGTAAAATTTAATATAAAGCGTAGTTAAGCCATACATCCCATGGCCCAACTCCCGTTCTATGAACAATTATTTCTTTGCGAACAGCATTCTAATAAGATCAGTCATTATTTCCAATAATGTTGTAATTGTAGTTGAGCAATGGTCACATACTGGAAACGGCTGGCTTTTGAATGTGAAGCGATTGGGAATTTGACATCAAGTGACGTGGCCTGTATGTATCCAATACTGCTGCCACAGCCAATGTTTTTGAATATGCCCTACAGATCCTGTACAGATTTACGGAACAACAAGGACAATCAAGGCTTGTTTGCTGTTACTTCAAGTTTCATGCTCTCCCAAACATCAGGCAACATGAGGATGGAGTGCCAACCATGCCGGTATACACGGTATACTTATGCCAGGAGAGGGTGGGTCTTGTAGCGCTGTATGAACAACTGTGTGAGAATGGGGGGGGGGGGGGGGCTCTATTTTTCAGCGCTAGCGGTGTTATTTTAGGCAGGAGGCTTTGTGCAGAGTGTGTGGTTGTTGAAGGCAGGGGCTAGCTGGCTAGCAGTGCAATGTTAGCGGCAGAATGTGTAGCTGATGTGGGCAGGAGGTAGTGAGCAAGGTGTGTGTGTGGATGTTGTAGGCAGGAGACTTGTACTAGTACAAAGGCTGAGTATTAGTGGCGCTAGTTTGTGCGTGACGTGTGTGGGTACAGTGATAAACCACAGTCTTTCAAAAATCTGTTGGCGCAATGCCAATGCCAATGGTGAGCAAAGGAAAAGTGTGAGTGATCCTGAGGCTGTTAACTTCAAACCTGTGCTGCATGCATACAATCATGTAGATCTAACACACATGTACATGTACATACATTTGACACATACATGACTGTACATGTAGATCTGCATGTGGCTAGGGTGCATGAGTGATAGTGATAGCTATCACTCCGGGTTACATACTTCAGTACTGTTATACAATATTACTTCAGTACTGTTATACAATAAAATTTTGTACCTAGGCTATGTCTATGATACTGATAGACATCACTCAGCAGTACAATGACCATGATGATGTAGATCCTTCATCACTTACGTAGGTTGTGGGAGTTTATCTACAAAGACCGCATGCATGTCAAGCAACGTCCCGATTTCTTCAGTGGTTCAGCACAATACTCAATACTATAGTCATCATTGACACGTAGAGTCTACGCACAACGCGGCGGGCTTGTGGGCTCACGTCATCAGGCAGAGGCGAGATGAACTTAAAGCGGGGGTTTTCAGTTTCGTGACTCTCTGAAGCAGGTCTACCATGCATGGTCTACATACCGCGCCGCTAATCATGATAATAGCCATGGCAGACCGTCTACGTGGATCAAAGCACTGTCGAGACGCGAAGCAAAGCCACGCAAAGACAAGTCGAGGTAGAATCTACTTGGTACAAATACCGGCAAGATTTGGTCAAAACTGTGTCACTTCGCTTTGCAGTGAGTTAGAGCTGTGCGAGAGTTGTTTTTCACTGGTTCAGTTTTCCGTCAGCTTCATCGGAAGCAGCCTTTGCCGAACTCTCACTAGCGAAAGGTCGACAAGACACTACTGATACAATACTCGTATTTTAGCGTTAGGCAAAGGTGTAGATTTCATCGAGAAACAGATACAGAAAGAGAGAAAGATCTGTTGTGGCAGAGTACATCAACCGAAGGTTTTGAAGATTGGTTTGAAACGTGGCCGCTTGCTATTCCCTACTGCTCGCTATCGAGGAAACGAAGTACTTAGTTACCGGCACGCAGCGTCAGCAGGAACACAAGCCGTAGAAGCAATGGCAACGGGAGATTCGCGAACTGTGGAGGAGTGCTTTTTGGAGGACTGTTTCATTATGTTTCGCTACACCATTCCACACCCGGATAACTTCGAACGAGCCAAGGCCATATGCCAGTCCAGCAAACCTGTTACGATCGAAACACCGCAAGTGGAGGATGTGAAGGACCCAGGCGAATGTATCTATAGTTCAGATTCAACGAGCAGACTTGTGATGAAGGTCACTCCCAAGAAGGGCTCCGAAAGCACTGAAGCCGGTCCAACTGTGCTGAAATTACACAAAATCCACCCTGCTCAACATAGGTACGAACCTAAGATGCTGTACAAAGAACTCCTTATAACCATGTATGTACAAAGGTGCGAGGAGAAAATTCGGCAGGAGAAAATGGATCGGCTGATTGCAACGTGCAAACCAATTTGGTATAAGTTCAGCAGTTGTGAAGGATTCGAAATGGACTATTTCCCAGAAGGCACACTTGGCCAGCTGTCCCGCACTCTGCGGCATGATAATGAGCGACTAGGTTTGCTGCGGGATGCTGCATCCGGTCTCCACTTCCTCAACTCTCTGCACATTATCCATTTTGATGTGAAACCATCGAACATCTGTGTTAGCATGCGAGCTGACGGCACACAGGTTGCCAAGTGGATCGACCTAGGTTCTGCTAAATTTACAGGGGAGAAGGTAGACAGGTGCAATCTCAGTGATACTGCTGCATATCGACCTCCTGAACTATTCCCACGCCCAGGAATCCAACCCACTGAGGATTTAGTTCTAGTTGATTCGTCAGCAGACTTCTGGAGGTTTGGACTATGTATTCTGGAAGTCATGACGCGGAAAAGCTTCCCCCCGTTATGGAGCAAAGCTCTAATGAGTAACGATATGTACAAGCAGTTCATCAGGATGAATGACCGTCAATTGATGAGGGGTTTGTATGAGCCTCTGAAATTCCCAGGCTTGCGTACCTCAAAACTACCCGAATGTGTTGACAGGCTGCTGTTCTACCTGTTGCGACTCGATGGAGCTGCGCGTATGGATATGGAGCACGTCACAGAAGAGCTAAACAAACACCTTGTCCTTGCCAAGGTATCTTCTCTGGATGATGCAGGAACGTCGAAGGTGCCCAGTGCGATCAAACCTGCTGGATCCACGCCCAGCAATGCTTCGAAATTCTAGTGCAGGAAGCTTGTAGCTGTCCCACACCTACTGTTCATGATGTCTACTCCTGTGGATGCTCTTTGAATGCCGGTGCAAGTAGCTTGGATGTGTCCAAACACCCTGATCATTGAGTGCTGGCTTGTGGGTCATGACGCCTGATGATGAGCATGCTATTGCATCCCGTCAGTTCAATGCATCGAATGGCTATGCCTATAGCTCAGATGTGTTTGCTGCATACACTGTACTCATTATTACGATGCTGATGAAGACAGCAAAGACCCTGGTGCACTAGCACCTGAATTCACAACATTGCTGAGAAGTGACACGTATTCTTCGCTTACCGTTCCACCACAACATGAAAGCGCTGATTTGATTGAACGCCACTAGCCACCTAGGCAGCTGGGTTAATCTGGATTGTACCCTAAGATTGATTAAATGAGTCACACAACCCACTGTCCAACTAATGTCACATACATAAACATGGAAACATCACTTTCCAACTGGTTTCAACAGAGGCATTTCATCCGTTTCAAGGTGACTGTTTTAAAAACTGTATATCTACAATAATATTATGTACTCCTGAAGTACAGCTGTACATTCTGCTTTTGAACGTCTTGTCATTTAACTTCCCTGGTGAGGGAAAAGTTCTCCATACAACCGGACATACATTGTTCATCATTCTAACTGTTATCAGTGTGCGCCCCACCTTATGATCCAATCTGCACTCATCACTGTACCTACGAAGCAGGCACTAGAGGTATTTAGCAACCCGCTGTATACTTGGTGCCGATTAGAAACCCGCAGATTCACCCCATGACATCATTCGCATAACCTATATAGTGTGATATGTTCACTATTGTCAACTTTGTCATGTATTTCTCCTGTTTCAGTTCGTGACCTGATGTGGTGGTAGCTAGTTTTGAACATAGCCAAATGGTTCAAGTTGCAATGAAGCTGGGGGAGGGTCCGCTTTTGCCCCATGCTCTAGTATGTTACAGGCACTGAGCTTTATTCTGACATTTCATTGTACTGCGCAGTATTTCATTGTATTGTAACCTGGGCTCCATTGGCACTACTGGCTTGGCACCGCAGATTCCATCAGAATGATTTCTAGCCAGCTCACATGGGCGGCTATCATAGTGGTAGACACACCATGGAATGGCACGCAGTGTAAACCCAACATCAAAGTTATCCACCATCAGCCAGAACAGACCCGATTGAGATGAGTTCATAGTATTGTGACAGAGAGTTCTGCTTACTGAACTATAGTTATGGTGTGCATAGTAGGGAGAACACTCCGGAACAAGTGGCACGTAGAAAGCATTGCATGCAATGTCTATTGAGCACTCAGTGAGTAGTCCAAACAGCTAGGCATATAGCTTGTGCTATGCACTGGTCCTATCATGTAATACAGCAAGTAAGCAAGCACACACACACACACACACACACACACACACACACACACACACACACACACACACACACACACACACACACACATACACTCACATGTGCATGCGCAGGAATGTGTATGACAAGGAGACAACAGCCATGCAGAGGTCACAGTGTAACAGTGTACATATACCACCAGGAATACAGCCGCGATGATCAGTACTGGAGGCACTATGATGAATGCAATGCCGCATATCAGTTGACTAGTAGTACTAGTAGTAGTGACAATGTCAATGGCAACTAACTGAAACTCCACACATGTGCATCAGGATTTTACAGTTGCAGGCATTCAGTTCAGTATGCATTGCTTACTAGGCCACATGCATCATAACGTTAGCTGTACAAGATTCTGAGAGAGCCGTCTGTAGGGGCTTGAATCCTACAACGCTAGTACGGACACCATGATGCACTAGCATAATGTGATGGTGACGTCCCTGTAGACTTGGTTGTTCAGCGCAAGCTGCTCTAACCACCCTAAGCAGTACACGGCGTGTGTCCACAAACCAGACGGGCTGTGGCAGTAACAGCGAGAGACTGCTCTGCACTGTTGTCTGGCAAGGTGGTTGATATGCTGAAGTACACTACTCCGTGCTCTGCTAACTGGATTCCTGGTGTGATTGGAACCGTCACAACCTGTGCCACAATACAAAAAAAAGAACCAGTGTACAACTAGGGTTATTGCGGCAGGCAAGCCAGCTAACCAATGTTTTCCACAATCGAGTTTTCCAAAATTTTGATGAAGGTGATTGGCACCTCGCTAAGATGGTTCTGCGGTGGCTGACAACACCATGCTGAGCATGTCTTCAGTTGACGCCCCTGACAACACCATACAGTAGCTGTTTGCTGCATTTGAGGTATGTGGTGTTCGCGAGTCAATCAAGTCTGCACAAGGTGCGATCTCCAGCTAGTATTGGGAGGAACCAAATTCTCTTTTAGATGACTGCAATGTTCTACTATATTACATGATAGCAATAACAGAATCTCCGGTACTTGCGGCCACACTCCCATCAAGTCGGGTTATGTGATTTCATCACTATTGATGTCTTTGGTATTGAATGGCATCAGCAGGAAGTGCTAGTGGCATAAAGCCATCAGCATACATTCCATGCGTTATTAGAAATACAAAGTTTCTCACTCACCGCTGCAAGAAGCCTGTTGGAGTGCTGTTCAAAGTTCACGGTCTGCTGCACTGAGCTTGACCTGATGTACAAAGTCAGGGTGAAGTTCTGGCCATTGCTTTGGAAACGCCTCAACCTCCGAGCGTGCAGTTTGTGGATCTTCACATTGAGGCACCACGAGGTGGATGAAGCACTGGTGCTGTTGCTCAGAGATCCAGCACATGTTTGACTTTGCCTGGGCCATTGGGCAGGAAGCATCATGTAGGGCAGATCTTGTGTGGACAACATGACATTGTCTTCAAAGATACTTCTCGGCTTCCACAGGTAGTGAGTGAAGAGACTGTCACGAAGATAGGCCAGGCAATCCCTTGAAGACTTGGTGGTGCTCTCGATGGAACATGGAGATGTTTGAGAAGAAGACGGGAACGGCATTTCCAGGTTTTGATATGTATGTCCAGATGGTGTGATATATCTGATACCGTTTGGATTCATCACTATGATGTCCTGCCAAATTTGTGACTTGCTTTGCAGTTGGTCAGTCAGCCTGATTGCACTGGACGAATCAGGAGCATCAGAGATCGATGGCCTTCGTGCGATACTTTTGATACGCTTTCTCAGGAGGCGCTTGCCCTTCGAAGTCTTGGGTTCGTTGTTGAAGATCATTTGCGCCTGGCCAGAGTAACTGCGAGCTGCTCCATACGCCATCACTGCAATACTGCCAGCAGTGGTGCGTGATGCTGTTGTGACAAACTCCATCATGACGTTGCCAGCTGCCACAAGGAAAGCGTCCGTCACATTCGGGGATGTGTCCACCAGAAAGACCGTGGCCTCGCCAAAGCATTCCCGGAGTATCTGCATTGCATTCCCACACATATAGGACATCATACACAAAGGGTGTTATTCTCACACTAATGCATGGACGGTGGATAGAAGCAGATCGTGACTGAACACTATTATCCATATATAGGCATCGCTGAAGGCAAGCACATCATTATGGTGCCTGTATGCTGGTCTCTCTGTATCCGAATCTTATACTATGTAAAAGTAAAGTAAATGAATTCAGTTAGCTTCTTAGGGCACTGTTGTGAAAACGAACTCAAGAACTGAACTAACTTCAGACTTCTCCCTGGCAACATTTCAGGAACTCATTCTACTGGTATTTTCTTTGCCTTCTCTTCTAATGGATACAGGGCATCACTAGTTCTGTACATGTGTTGTCTATTGCTATATCACACTATATGTCACACCCCACTTTGAAGTACATTGACATCTTCACACTTATAACACGTGTACATGATTAGAAGACTTGCCGTGATTTAGTCTATATGCTTGAAAATCAACGCTTTCTATTGAGTGTGATATTCTCTCTGTGTCTCGTCACTATGAATTTAGCCGCACTATTTCATACCTCTTACTGATGTTTATATCACCAGTTTACATTGTATATCAGATACTGTACTGGTTAGTCTACTTTCTGCTCCTCAGTGTATGCACGTGAAGAGAAGGCAATAAAAGTACTCATGGAAAATTTCAGAAATGTTGCTTGTGACGAGCCAGTAGTTAGTTCTGTTCTATAGCAATCACAGTACCATAAAAACAGCTACCCTGAAGTCTGAAAGTACTCAGCTGCATGGAAACATTCACTGGTAATGTTGCCTGTTACAAGTCTGAAGTTAGCCTAGCTGTCCTATAGTACTCAAACTCAAACTGTAACCTTTAAACACCTACCCTGAAGTTTGTCTTGGGACAATGGCCGTGATTGCCTGCAGTGCGTTTCAGTAGTGGCTTCAAGTCACGGTGATTGGTAAGCATGTGGACTGTACTTGCTGCATTGTCTTGCGGGCTTCTCGAAGACAAGTCTTGATAATTACTGGTAGGGGAAACCTGTGGAAAGAGCATATTCCATTGATACGAGAATAGCGTGCCAAGTACAGCTAAGAATAGTCCAAAAGCACCACTCCAGTATGTGTAGATAAAGGTTGCAGGAGTGATTGGGTACCCAAGTGTCATTCAGTATGCCATATTGCCAATTGTATGTTGTAGAAAATGTTGGGACTGGGATTTGTGAAGAAAATTGTATCTGAGGGTTCAGGATCTATAAACTAAGTGTTTACCATCCAGCGAGGTATAACACGGCGATACTTAGGCATCTCACCTCGTATGACCCAGAGATGCTGCTCTTCAAGATGGGAGACAGAACACCTCCTGCAGTGGATTCTGAACTCGGTGAAGCACTTGAGCTGCTCCCAAACGCAGGTCCCCAGCGTAGCTTGGCTAGAATAGTTAGGAAGATGTTTGCTGGATCTGGGCAGGACACCTGCATGCAAGAACAGTCATGAAATGCCGTGAGGAAAAACCATGGGCATACATGCAGTCCATTTGTGTACTCTTAAAGCGAAGAATTATTATTACCGGCAACTTGAAAAGGTTGTGAATGTTGGACAGTTGAATTCTGACTCGAGCTGAATTCAACTTCAAAATGGAATCCTTTTTAAATTCATGTGAGCTTTTGTTCTGACGCTCTGTATTTAGCTGCGTGATTATCGCCGAATTATATGCACGTGTGCATGTGGGAGGCCTGGTTGAAACACGGACTCCCCGATCTTCGATTCAGTGTCTGGCCTCCACCCTGACCAAGTGAGTAAAATACTTGCAAACCCAGAGATAGCATTACCATGATAACCACACGTTGGCCCGCAAGACATCTTCCTTCAACACTCCACAGCTAGCAGCCAACCACCGCTAGGTCAATGCTGTCAAAGTGTCATAGCCATTCCGTTCTGCAGTATTCCAGCGGCAGCCGAAGTTGCTGCATATCCAAATTGCAGCGATGGGTAGAAACCCTATGACGGAGGGTCTACGAATTGAAAATATCTTTAGGCACTTTGAAGAAACAGGAGAATTTCTGCTTCCTTTCTACCATTGCTCCCCAAAACACATGCTATTTTAGGATCTACACTGCATTACATCTGCGCCTTGAGGATATGGCGGTGTTCTTGCGGATGCAAGAACCCAGTCAGACCGACTCCCTGGCGCGTAAAGTATCTTTATCGGTAGCATTGTACTGCAGGAGTAAACGAGTGCAGGGACAAAACACTACATTGTACTTACGTTGCAATTGGTGATAAGGGAGAGAGGCACTCGGAGAGTTTGTTTGTCCATCGAATGATTTCCGCTGCCTGGATGTTCATCATCATGCGCCACGAAGACGAAGTCTCCGGCTTCACCACACACATCATCCGCCATCTTGCTTCCGGACACCATGGTAACCGCATGGTTACCGAGATCAGCTTTCCCGGCGCATTGGAGAGCGTTCCCTGGTAAGTTGTCGCGTGGCCAGTGGAAAGGCAGGAAAATTCTCACATCGTCAATGAAGGCGCGTTTTCCTGTTCCAGCATAGAGGAGGCGAGACGAGCGACGGATCACAGACACCATTCGATGCAGCATCCCAATATTTGGACACTGTTGCGGAGAGAGAATGGCATCATTTTCGTCCAAACTGTCGTCGAGCCTCACGTCGAAACGCAACCTCACAAGACCGTCCCCTGATATCGGTGTTGATGCGTGCGCGGCCATATGCCACAGCAGAGCATGGAAGGTAGCCGCCAACAAGACGAAACGAAAGAGCGGCCTGATTGTCCCGGAGCCATAGCCTCTGATGTCAGCCATTGTCTTCCTTGATGACAAGCACAGTGTTTCTTATTTGCAGATTGTCGTTTGCTTTTCCTTCTGGGTACAGTAATGAACTGTACACACAGTGGTACACCTCCTCTTCTGCTCCTTTTTACTTCTCTCTCTCTCTCTCTTCTCTCTCTCTCTCTCTCTCTCTCTCTCTCTCTCTCTCTCTCTCTCTCTCTCTCTCTCTCTCTCTCTCTCTCTCTCTCTCTCTCTCTCTCTCTCTCTCTCTCTCTCTCTCTCTCTCTCTCTCCTTCTCTCTCTTTTGCTTGGCTCAACTTTGCGTTCGAAAGTAGCTGTCTACCGAAATGAAAACTTTCCTAGCTATTTATTCTCTTTGAGAAGGATCTTTAAAAACAAACCCATCATATTGGAAGACAATGTGGCTGAATGTGGCGTGTACGCAGAGCTGACAGAGCCATTCATTGCCGTTTGCCTCCTCTGGATCGGCTTGCTTGACTCCAACATCTGGACACAATGGCCAGGAATAACAAGAAGAGAAACTGCTGGGCTGCTTGCAGCCTACTTTCTGTCTTTACCTAGCAATGGCATACATGTACATGTACATCCACTGGTGGCAAAGAAATAGCATGAAGGACAGACACTCCGACATCAACCTTCGCCGACGCTGTGGTTTGTTGTCTCCAGAAATAGACCTTCGCCGAATCCGTGTGTAAGAAGGGCAGCAGAAAGAAGAGCGCTCTAGCTTTCTGCACCCCCCCCCCCTTCTCTTTCTCTCTCATCTTGGCTATTTTGCCGCATGGTTCTCTTCAAACTTCAAACAACATCAATAATGTTGGGCCATGTGTGTGCGAGTTAGAGTTCCAAGTAATCAAGGCGCCGTTTAAGGGCCTCTCGCGATGCGAGGTTTGTAGGATGCAAAGTTGCAAACATCAACAACGAGAGCAATGTGCACATTTTATGTTTATGCACTCTTGATGTGTGATGCGTGTACTGCCCACTACCTGTACAATGTCAGTGTACATCCAGCTGCAAGCCTGGACACCGGATTTACATAACATTCTACTGAGTCTGAGAACCACCGATGTGCTTTTCTCGTGATCACAGCATAATGGCAAGGTTGCAATCAGCTAGCTGCTGGTCTCTTACCCACGAAAGTTGGTCTTGTCATGATGCATGAGGGTTTCGTGAGCCAGGAAAATACTACAGAGTGTTCCGACAAAGGTACTCGAGATGTTCATGAGTATTTCACATGTACATATCAGAGGTCATATTCATGAAGACACGAGATATCGAGACACATACATGTACATGTACATGTGACGTGTATCCATCCCATCATTATCATGTGCGATACGAAGTCAGGCCAATTATTTGGACATTGCGCTATACATGTACATGTACATGTACCAGCAACCATTCGTGCGTGTTCTTGTGCGTGTGCTTGTGCGCGCGGACAGTAATGAGTTGTTGTGTTGTTCGTCTGATTGTATGTGCATGTGTGCTGTGTCTGACACCATCCGGGTATCTCATGTCCGCGTTATGACTTCACTGTAGCCAAACAACGCAGATGCTCCACTTGCATGAACTATTCCTGTGGTTGCGGGTTGAATGTAGAAGTGTGTACAGGTGCTGCGCTGACCCTCAGTATTACCAGTATCCATCGAATGAGATCCTCAATCTGCGGACAGAACTGTTTCGTCCTTTGTGGACTCGTCAGATCTGTAGTGTTGTAACGTTAGACGATGGCTTGATCCTATGCTACATGTATATCCGACTACTACATGAACATGTATTTCAGATACACATACACATGTACATGTACTTACATGTATTTCAGATACACATAGTCATGCACATGTACATGTACTTCAGTAACACGTTGACGTTACATTTCAACAGTAAACTAAACATTTATGATACATGTATCGTACATGTATTATGTAGCGTTGTTGGTCATAATTTGACGATTGGCCGAGCATAGTCCGCCAATGGCTAGTTGGTATTAACCAATAATCTGTTGTAGTAAAATTTAAACTGTCCTCGTACAAGTACTTAGCCTGCTAAGGCACATTGATGGAGTCGAGGCAGATTTGCCTGCAATAAGAGAATTGAAAGGGAGTGTGTTCTCATTTGATTCTCATTTACGGGCAGACGAGTTAACCCGATGGGTGATCTCACTCATGCCATGGCTACTTGCGAGCAATTCGCGAAGTAGCATTATTCCTGTTGCCAATTTGTACTCGGATGTTGAGCCAATGTAATCATGGATCAAATTAATAATTGAAAAGGGACAACATGTTACGAGTTTACACAAAATCGACACTGCGAAACGTACATGTACATGTACAATGGAGGTACGACACAAAGAACTGCTTATAACAATGTACATTGTACATGTATGTACAGATGTGCGTGGAGAAAATTCGGCAGGAGAAAATGGATCGGCTGATTGAAACGTGCAAATCAATATGGTACAAGTTCAGCAGTTGTGAAGAATTCGAAATGGATTATTTCGCAGAAGGCACACTTGGCCAGCTGTCCCGCACTCTGCTGCATGATAATGAGCCGATGGCACACGGATTGCCAAAGTAGATAGACCAAGGTTCTGCTAAATTTACAAGGGAGCAGGTAGATAGGTGCAATCTCAATGATATAGCGGCTTATACAATAGACCTGAACTATTCCCACGCACAGGAATCCAACCCATAGAGGATTTGGTTCTACATGTAGTTGATTCGTCATCAAACTCCTGGAGGTTTGGACTATGCATTGTGGAAGTGATGACGCGAAAAAGCTTCACCCATTTATGGATTAAAGCTCTAATGAGCAACGACCGACATGTACACGCAATGTATAACTATGAATGACTGTCAATTGAGGAGGGGTTTATATGAGCCTCTGAAATAATTTCCACACTTGCACACTTCAAAACTACCCCACTCACTGTGTTGACAAGTAGCTTGTTGCGACTCGATGGGGCTGCGAGTAGGGATATGGAGCACGTCATAAAGGAGATAAAAGAACACCTTTTCCTTGCGAAGGCACAAGGACACAAGGATTTCTAGCCAGCGGCCAGCGGAAATGGCAAGATGGCAGACTTGGCAACTCGCCCACTGTATATTCCTGCTCATGAATCGGACGAGTCATTACAAGACGAGCGACCAGGCTTCTGGATGTCGCGGCCGCCGACCATGCCAAGACGTGCACCTGCTTCAGCTGCAACTTCTCAGGCAAGGTGCCGCGACCAATCACCACAATCATGTTCACTCGGCTTTCATTCACGCCTGTAGTCCGGCAGTGAGCAAACGAACTCCAGTGACGTCTACCAGAACCGCTAGTCGAGTCCTGCGCCGAGTGCAGTGGAGGAAAATCTCCGTCGACCAGTTCTACGTGTTGTAGCAGCACCAGCGCTACCCTGTCATTGACTGCGTATTTTTTATTTTTTTTAATTTCGGCCAGTCTGCTACTATCATTTCGTCTTGGGCCAGTTGGGGGACTGCGTATCTGAAGACGAAGCCAAACCAGTGGATGAGCGCGCCCTGGCTGATTTGCTGGACAGGAGACATACCCAAGGCAAATCTCCGACATCACCTCTCAGTAACCATGCCATACTACAGCCTGCTTATGAGGCAAGCAGTCAAGAAAGTTCAGAGGATGAGTAACCAAGCTCGATAACACCAATTATTATAATACTAGCAGCAGCAGTAACTACACCACCCAGTGCTGGAATGAGTGCACTAGTCTATCGTCACCTGTACACACTGCACTGATGTCGAACCCGAGATCGAAGTCGCTGCAGTTACGCAGCTGGATACCTGGATAGAGCAGCGTTGTTGGCCAGCTTTGCAGCCATCTTGGCGGTGACGAAACAAATTGATGCTGTTCGCCATGAAGTGGTGACGTCGTTTACTGACACCAAGCAAAGCAAGACTTTCCTGCACCTGGAAGACACACTGACTCGCACTATGCTTCGTCTGGACACCGTCGAGTCACATGGGGATGACAAGCTGCGCTCAATTCGCCGCAAAACAGTAGGGGGGGGGGGGGGGGGGTAAGAGATCTGCAGTCAGTGCTTGATGAGCTGGAGAGCCAGCCAGCAGATACCGCTGCTAATAATACTGCTTCCACCAATGACACGCCGAGTACAAGCAAAAGTAACAAAATTGTCAATGGTTGTGCTTTTGATTACCTGGTCTGGAATCGACCACTGACTGCGATGAAGCCATCAGGCATCACTGAACAACATAAAACAAGCTAGCTGTACTGTTGGCATACTAATGACGTCATCAGCACTGGAAGATGCTGCTACTGCTGGAGCTGAGGACAGTCGTGCCAGTGGCGGTGGTGATGATGATGGTGGCTATGTCCCAGACCAATGCTCGGAGATGGTAGAGCCCAACCTCCAGATCGACCAAGATGATGAAGAGCCAATAGAAGTAGATGTAAAACCAATGTCCGGGGAAGAGTTTTAGCAGGCAAGTCCATGAACACTTGGACACCACTCGGTTTAGTGCTGGCCATTAGGACAGTTAGCTTGTATCCATATTTCCCTCATTTTTTTCC